TTGAAGCAGGAGACATGTGGTGTGCATCGCGCGACCAGACGCTGGGGTCTGTGTCCGATCGATTTGACCGGAGCGTCTGGTTGTCCCGAGTTTTGCCTAATGAATGGGTAACGGCTAGTTTAGCTCATGGGGCTATAAATAGAATGTGGTCTCGGCCATGGCTGTGGCTGAGCACCTTGGGGGACTTTGTGTCCATGCTTGAGAGTGTTTGGGAGCCCTCCATCTCACATATACTTGATAGTGATCATCCGATCGTGTGAGAGAACGATTCTAGTGCGATTGCATCATGAGGTTGCATTGAGTGGCGTTAGGTGATCGAGTTGCAAGGCGATGGTGCTTGTTACTCTTGGAGGTTGTCAAATCCTAGACGGCTTGGTGGTGGTCTCCATCGAAGCCCGCAAGAAGCTTGTGCGGTGCTCCGGAGAAGAGCTTTGTGAGGGGAATTATGCTCGCCCCGCGGGAGCCACGAAGAACAACTCTAGTAAAGCATGTCATTGAGCTACCTTCACTTTTGGGGTAGGTTCTTGCGGTGCCTGACGTGCGGGCTTGGCGGGCGATGCCAATTAGCCGCCGAAACCACCAAGTGAGCGGTCGACACAACGGGGACTCGCGTGTTGACAAGCACATGAACCTCGGAAGAAAAATTACCGTGTCAACTTTGTTCTTCCCGTTGGTTTGTATCCTCATTACACAAGCTTGTAATTACTTTCATATACATTATACTTGTGTAGTTGCTCTTGTAATTAGTTAGCTTGTGTAGCTCACTAGTGACATTCTTACTTGTGTAGCATAGAAGTAGCTCCCTTGCGTGGTTAATTTGGTTTGTGTAACCTTGTTAGCCACATTACTTAGTTGGTGTAACTAAGTATTTGCGCTCTCTAATTTAGCATTGGTTGTCTTTATATTGAGCATTGCTAGTGTGCTTAGTTGGCTTTGTGCTTTTACTTACTAGCATGTGTAGAAGCTCCCTCGTTACTTGAAATACTAGTGGCATAGGTTTGTATGACCTTGCTCCTAGAATTGAATATATGAGCTCTAGCTAGCTTGGCACCTTTGTTGTCTAATTATGATTTTTTAAGGTGCTTGTAAACTTTGATAGAGGGGTGTAGTCTTTGTTAGACCGAATTGTTTTAATTCCGTATTTGTTTCGGTTAGCGGACGTGATTAAATTTAGTAACAACTATTCACCCCTCCTCTAGTCGCCATCTCGACCTTATAAACAACGAGCTAGAGTTCCAGCTCAGCTCGTGAAAAAGTTAAAACAAGCCGAGCCAAGCCGAGCCGAACACGAATCGAGCGAGTTGACGAGCCACAAGTATTTTATTCAGCCCTACCAAAAAAAACAGTCATAGTAGATTCTATTTAAGCGTCGCAACTAGTATGGTATTCATTAGCCCGCCTCAAAAAAGAATTTTCTTAATTTTTCTTTAGTATATTTGATACTCTATTTGTCGTATGGATTCGCTTGGCCTGTCTTTGGATTTAATAGAGCACGACTAATTTAAATATTGGTCTGATTTTCTACGGTCAGAGCTCAAAGATTCCTTATTCTCAAATTGTATAGGCAAAACAAATTTAGACAATAGTTAGGTGACTAAAAACGAATTTTTTTATAATAGATGTAGGTGCAAACCTGAAAGCACAAACATTTATTCCTATGAATACACATGCATACCCTACTGGATAGATTGGCTTGTCTTTAGATTGAAGATATATCCCCTGTTTTTGTTCGCAATTCTCTAACCCTTTATTTTCCCATAATTGACGAATTTATCATAAGTACATGGTTGTTGATTGACACATTTCACTGTCGAACACCGACGCTAAGTTGAAGCTCCCACCTTTGCCCTGTTCGTTTGGCTGATAAGCCATGACTGAAAGTACTGTTGGTGATTTGTTGTGAGAGAAAAATATTATTCGTTGGTTGAAAAAGTACGGCTTATAAGCCAAGCGAACCTTGTTGTGTGCTGATGAAGCCGTGAAGGTATGACTCTGCACACAAATTCACATCCTTGTACCCCTCAAATTACATACATGTGCTATTATTTATATTTATAGACGGGTAATAAGGACGTGCTTGTCAATGTGAGGGTATGGTGCACACATAAATAGACATGCTCATATGCACTATTCTCGTCTCCACTAGTTGATATTTTTTTCATGCAGGAGAAAGATTGACAAATGTTTTCATGACTCACCACAAGCTTAGAAGTTCACTGGGTGACACCTAGCCGTTTAGGAGGTTTCACCTCTAGCTACAAGAGTAACAAATGTTTCATGAATGATTGGCAAAACCTGACGATTGCTCAAGGTTTAGTTTGCTCAATTTTACTCTCTAGTAACTCGAAACCTCCTAACCCAACACTTAAATCTCACACTAATCACTCACTCCCAAAAAGAGAGGAGTTGGGAAGGGCTCTCACAAGGCTTAGAATATTATCTATGATCATAAGAACACTATGAACTCCTCCAAGGGACGTGAGATGGGTATATATATCCACCCACAAAAAACTAGCCATTAGAGCTAAAAAAAACTAGTCATTGGATCTGTAGTAGCATAAAAAAGCACATGTCACCACACGAAAAACGTCATAACTTTTCACTCCGAACTCTCATTTCGATGATTTTGAACTTTCTAGAAAGCTTATTCAGAGAGCTATCCACCCCAACAAAAAATAAGCCCCAAGATAAAAAGGATAAGTGTTGTGCCATATTAAAAGCCCTAGTTTGATTTTGGCTAATTGATTAAATCTATTGGACTAACCCTTTGTCTAAGCGTATAGATGAGTTAGGGTGGTTCAAGTCTAAGTGGTGGAGCAAGATGGCATCCATGGTGATGGAGGTGGCCAAAAGATAAATCAAGTGCTCCAACCTGTAAAAGAAGAAAGAAAAAACAAAAATGGACTCAAGACATAGATATAACCTATAGGGCCATTTTTGTTTTGCAAATCAAGACACTATAGAAGGTGTGATTATGTCCAAATAAGAGTCGAAATTAATGTTTGGTTTGGTTTCCTGCCCTTAACTGTTCGGTCAGTCTAATTTAGCCCTTAACAAGATTTTTGTTTTTATTTCAGTACGTACAAGTTGAATTTTAATTCAGAAACTTGTAAGGTGATATAGTACATCATAAATTATTTTTTAAAATACACTATTAATTTTATTTCATTATATTTAATAATTTTGTTGTAATCTGTCAAAAATATAAATATTAAAAATTACGACATATTTTAAACATAAATTATGGTGTTAGCTATCCCCTCACAAAAATTGAAACTAAAAAACAGTTTGAATATTGAGAAACAAAAAGACAAATCTTGTAGAGGGTAAACTGAACCAACTAAAATAATTAAGGGGGAGTAGACTCAACCATACCATGGTTTAGGAACTTATCTAGATATACGCCCTGTTTTGCAACATTACTTCAGTAGTAGTTTTTAGCGAACGAATAATATTTTTTTCTCAATAAATCAGCATAAGCGTCAATATAAGCCAAATTTCAGCGAAACAAACAGGGCCATAGACCATACTTGAGGTTAGTACATATTGGATTTTTTTTTCCAAATTGTAACATGGCGACGTGTTTGTATTGTTTTTTCAGTGTGTTTTTAAGCTTTAGTGGGCAGCGAGCCTGGTTTTTGCTATAATCTTACTTTGTTAAAGTTGTTTTGTGTCAATTATTTATATTAGCTATGGTTTTCTTGAAAAATATCAGATCTAAGACACACTTATGTTTTCATTTGAGTGTCTCCTTTCAGGTTCCATCCAAAACCCAAATTTTTTTGCGCAGTATCCATCACATCGAATTTTGCGGCACATGCATGCGAAGACTAAATGTAAACGAAAAAAAAACTAATTACACAGTTGGGTGAGAAATCGTGAGACGAAACTTTCGAACCTAATTAGTCCATAATTAGACACTAATTACTAAATACAAACGAAAGTGCTACAGTACCCAAAAACAAAAATTTTTGCCAACTAAACATGCCCTCAATCAAAGTTTGCGGCAGCCAAACCCCAAACCTGGGACAATCCTGCCAGTCCCGGTTCCGGATCCAAAGCCCTCACCTGCGGATGCCGCGGGCTGGCCGCCTGGCCCCAAGCCCCCAACACCCCGTCCATCCTGGACGTTTCAAGCGATGGGTCGCATCCACCGTACACGCGACGACTAGCCTGATCCCGGCCGTTCCTTGAAAACCATTGGTCACGGAGGCGAGACCCCTTTCACTAACACGTCTCGCTGACTCGTGGCCCAGTAGTACCAAGAGGCCCCGGAAGTCAGTGGGTCAGAGTTTAGGCGTGCTCGTCGACACGGCGGGAGGCGGCGTTACGTGGCGTTCACCGTCGACGCGGCGCGTGATCTCACGTACACCATCCGTGTAAAACACGAGCGGCGGTTAGTGCCTGTCACTGACATCGTGGGCGCTCGTACGTATGGCCCACCTGTCAGAGTACGTTTTGGCGACGCACTTACGCCTGTTTGGAAACCGATCTCCTCCCGCTGTCTTGCAGTGCAAGAGAGGAGGCCGCCGCACGTACCGCTCGGATCTTCGGGCCAACAAGTACGTAACAGCACCCCTAATCCACCCGCTAATCACCAAAGGAGGAGCGGTGGCAGAAGGGTGATTAGCGAGCCATGCTCGAGGGCACAACGGGGAGAGCGCAACAGATAAATCCTCTATTTGGACCCGGCGCTGCTTCCCATCGCCATTGCTGCCTCTTCTCTTCTTCCTCCCTCCCTCTCCCATCTCTCTGTTCTCACAATTTTGCTTCTGAAATTTCCTGCCGGTTTCTCGGCATCTTATTTTTCTTGTGTCTACTGAGACGTAGACCAAGGAGGAGGAGAGTAATTGGCGAGCGGTTGGAGAACGAAGACGGGGGACGGCTGCGGCGGCCGGCGGAGGCTATTTTTGATGCGTGGCGCCGTCGAGGTCCACGCGATTGGCAGAGACGTCGCGTCGCCGAGCCCCCTGAGACTCAGAGACGCTCCGGCATTGGACATGATGAGGTAGCCGTCAGATCTCCGGGCTCTCACCTCTCCCTCTCTGTTCATTTGGTTCCTCTGTTATTATGTGGCTGTTCTCGTTGCAGATCGAAGTGCAACGTGTTTTTCAACTCGTTTGCGTTTGTTTCGCCTTTGGTTTCTTGTCTCTGGCTTGGGTTGTTGAAGGATTTGGTTTCTTCGCGGTCGGCCGGCCTTGTCAAATTTCTTTCTGGCCTCTGTGCCTTTGCTTTCTTCATCCGCCTGATATTTCCGCTCTCTGTCGTCATGGTATCTGGATTTCACGTTCTTGTTGCAGTTTGAGTTTGGTTGATCCGAACTATGTATCTCCATGCCGGTCTCGCCAATTCCAGCCGCCGTGCTGACTCTCTTGTTCTTCGACTCCGCGTTTTTCAGGATTCTGCCCGCAACCATCTCAATGGTTTTCTGGCTGTCTCCCAAATTCCGCTGCTTTCCCGGCTGTTTCTGGATAAGAACAAGCCTGCACCTTCGATCCTTTTCTGGTCAGGAGATGACCAGTCATGTAGTTTATCACATCGCCGCCGGAGTAAAATTATTCTGGTTTCGTTTCCGGCAGCCTTCTCTTCCGAGTTCCGGAGTTCCTAATGGTTTTTGTTCTTCCTCCATGTCCGCTTTACTTGGTTCCGTTTCAACGAGCCCAGCTGTTCATGTTGGAATTTTGCGGTCGTTTTGTTCTCTCTTCTTAAGGTTTGGGGCTGGTGATCGATCTGTTTGATTGCTCGTTTCATAGCCGCTACCAACGGAGCGAGCGATCTGTCACTTGCATTTTGCAGCGGATCTCCTTGTTCGATGAAATCGCTAAAGAGTCGACTCGCCTCTTGATTCGTTGCAGGTACCAAAGGCTGAGCCCGGACTGCCTCCCCCTCGGCAACGGCGGCAGCGGCGCCGTGCCCCGGAAGCAGGCGTCCAGATCCTCCTTCATCAAAGACGACGACGCCCCGGCCGTGGCCACGGACGGCTCCCGCCTCGCCTCGTACCTCGCGGCCTCCCCGCACGAGTCCAAGCCGCTGCGCGCCCGCGCGCCGCAGCCGGCGCCTCTTTCTTCGGCGACGGCCGGCCGGAGCCCAGCGCGCGAGCACGCGCACCACCACACCTCCGACTCCTCCGACACTGCCTCCCCGAGCTCCACCGGCGGCGGCGGCGGCGCTGTCGTCGGCGACGTGCTGCTGCAGTGGGGGCACAACAAGCGGTCGCGCTGCCGGCGCGACTCGGCCACTGCCGCGCCGTCCGCGCAGCGCCGGCAGTCTGCCATCGGCGGCGGCGGGGTCAAGATCCAGCGGCGCGCGTCGGCGCCCGCGGAGAAGCTCATGCCGCCTCCGCCGACCGCCGCCAGTTCCTACACGCGCGGGTCCAACCTGCGGTCGGCGTCCTCCTTCCCGTCCCGCGCCTCCGCCGCCGCCGCCGCAAGCAGCCACCACCCGCCCCACCACCACCACCCCAGGTAACGACGACGCCCTCCCTCCCCCTTCCCCTCCCTTCGTATCTTACGCGTGCGTGGTTTCCCCTATCTATTCCCTCTTGTTTGCCTCGGCGACTTTGTTTTTTGTGTTTCCGGTTTTACCCCGCGTAAACTACCGCTGACGAGGTGTTGGAGTCGTGGTCGCGTTCTTTGGGTGGGATAGGATGGGATCGTGCCTTGGCGTCGCTGTAGTGTTTATTTATTTTTCTCTCCTCGGGCTCGGCCGGTCTCCTTTGGTTTTGGTGAGCTGTACCGCCACATCTTTCCGCACCGTAAGGAGAGTTGGATGGAAGATATTCCTTCCTTTCTTCCCCTCTCATCGCATCATTTCTTCTTTTATTATATAATATAAAAATCGAAGTAGGGTTTTTATCTGAATATTTTTAGTACCGATTTGATCTGGATCAATTTCATTTTTTTCAGCTATTTTTGGGGTATTTTCGAGTTATAAATGTATATTTATTATGACTTTTGGGAAAGTTGTGTGTCTGGATCTTTTGTTTTTGTGAAGAATTGTGTGTGTCTGGATCTGCAGTGTCGACGGTAACCTTACCTTTCTTCTAGTCCGTGGATATGTGGCGAGAAAGCAGTGCCGGTATTTGTCACACATTGTTTGCAGCGCATGTTGGGGCCATGTTATTTCAGCGGATTGTTGTTTTTCGGTATTGGGATGATGGCAATAGTATGAATGAAGGAATTGCATATTTAGGGTATCTGTTGCACTTAACTAGAGGTGGAGTAGATGGGTTATTATAAGAGTCTGTCTACTACACAACTATGTGTTTTATATAGTTTCAACACATGATTTTTTTTACATCATAGGATTAAGATCAACAGCCTCCCTCCTTCTTTCAGCCTCCATGTATCACAAATTTTTTTCCCTATGAAAGAATAAATCATAGATCTGCCCGCCAGCTCGCCGATCGCCGGCGCGAGCCGGTGAGGAGAGAGGGAGAGAGATACAACTGTATTATAAATATACATACACATCTCAACTTCCTATCCATTCTTTTCTACGTAGACACATAGACAGCAGGAGCTGCTCTTTGCTCATATTGCATATCCACCTTTGTTGAGGGCTGGAGGTTGAGGGTAGGATTGGAGCCAACTCTGTGGTAGGCGGTACTACCAATCCACCACCCGACCCACCCTTTTTTGCATATCCACCTTTGTTGAGGGCTGGAGGCTGAGGGTAGGATTGGAGCCAACTCTGTGGTAGGCGGTACTACCAATCCACCGCCCGACCCACCCTTTTTCCACAACTTGCCAACCACCGCCACCACCCCCGCAATCGCATCATCATTAACATTACTTCTTCTTTCTTTTTAGGTCCGTCGAGGAGCGATCGTCAATGAAGCGGTCGTCGCCGGACAAGGGGCACAAGTCCTCCGCCATGGACGCCATCCTGCACATGGAATCCAAGAACTATCACCACCAGCACGACTCGCCGTTGACCAGCAACGGCGCCGCCACCGCGGGCGAGAAGCTGGGCGTGGAGCGGTTCGAGCTGCCGCGGATCTACATCTCGCTGTCGCGAAAGGAGAAGGAGGACGACTTCCTTGCGATGAAGGGCACCAAGTTGCCCCAGCGGCCCAAGAAGAGGGCCAAGAACGTGGACAAGACCCTCCAAGTAACCCCTCCGCAACCACCTGGCCTTGAGCTCGATCTGATCCTATTCCTATCCGATCCGATCTCGCTTCTCGTCGTCACAAAACTGACATGTGCTTCCCTTGCTGCTTTTATCATGCAGTTTGTCTTCCCGGGGATGTGGTTGTCAGATTTGACGAAAGGCCGGTACGAGGTGCGGGAGAAGAAATGCGTGAAGAAGGTATAAATCGAAAATCATTTTTCTACTACGTACTACCCTGATCTGGCCTGCTCGACGATTTCAGTTCGTGCTCCTTATTCAGCGATTAGAATTTCTAAACATTTTTCTTTTTTGTATGGCTGAAAGAATATAATAAGAAAAAGAAATCTCGCTGAAAAATTCGCTTAGAATTGGGGCATGGCCGCATGGGGGTGCGAACAAATGCAAAATAAAGCTGAAAAGTGGGCGGAATTGTGGTTGCCCTTTTCTTTCGAGATGGGCCCTCACGCCTCACGTGGGGCCCAACCCGTGATGCTCCGTGTCCTCATTGATGACGGCACTACTAGTTTTATTTGCTCCGCCGCGGCTTTATTGCTGTGGACGTGGAGGAGATGGATGTGTGTGCCCTTACCCTGAGGAGTCTTCTAGGTTTAGCTTCATTTATCTGCCATGGCGTATGTGCTTTACTTTGCCAAGCAAAAACAAAACACACGCTAGTGCACAACTGCCGCGCTACAAAACATCGTACCGTGGGGTTCACCGTGCCTGAAAATTTGCTCGTGAATCACACGTACGGGGACATCTATCTTAGGCCTTGTTTAGATCATCACTCTCTCTCTATCACATCAATTTTTGGACGCATGCATGGAGCATTAAATGTAGGTAAAAAAAATAACTAATTGTATAATTTGGTTGTAAATCACGAGACGGATCTTTTGAGCCTAGTTAGTCCATGATCGGACAAAGTTTGTCAAATACAAACGAAACGTGCTACAGTGTTCAGGTTGCAAAAATTTGCAATCTAAATTAGGCCTTATTGCGGTCTGCTCGTATGGGGTCCACCTGTCAGGTGAGTCTTTGGGATTGTCGAGCTGAGCCACTGACAAGTGGGTTCCTGGGAGACACGTATCTGTCGCTGGTTGGGACCACATGATTGTGGTCCGAATAGAGCTTGGAATCATAACCATCGAAAAAAGAACAAAAGGGTGGTGCTCTAGTCTTTGTATCACATCGTTGGTTCCCCTGTTTATTCTGATAGCAAATTGCAGCGGCCAATTTGTCAATAGCAAGGACCAGCTCGAATCTTGTAACATGGACTCTAATTGTTTATTTATTAATCTAATCTACAAAAGGCTGTGGTTGGTTCGTGCTTGGGTTTGTTAGAATAATGTATGCACATGACCTGAGCTCGGTCTTGCCTTTACCACACATGCAAAAAAAAGAACTAGGTCTTTGCTTGCAGCAACTACCAATTGATGTTTCTGCACTAAGCATGGCTTTCACTAACTGAAATCAATCTCCTTGTATTTGGTCTGCAGAAGAGAATAGGGCTGAAAGGGATGGAGAGCATGGACAGCGACTCGGAGTGACAAGCTGGGACTGTCAAATGAGGCTGCAAAAGGGCGCAATAAGCGCCCTGTTCACTTGGCTTATAAGCCATAATTTTTCAACCAACGAACAATATTTTTCTCTCACAACAAATCAGTCAACAGTAGTTTCAGCCATAACTTATCAGGCAAACGAATAGAGCAAAGATGGAGGTGCGGCCATCAGCCATGGGTGGAAGAGGAAGAAGGAATGAAGGATCACTGGTAGCTAGGCAACAGGAGTGAGCCGGAGGGAGTTGTGTTTCATCATAGTGTAAAAAGATAGGAAGATAAGATGGGAGGAGATGCTGAGGGCAAGAGTGGTCGCCGCTGCTCACCTTGAGCCGCCGACGCAGCCGCGGGCGCCCTGGGAAGCGTCGGAGGACGATGGTGCGTGCCACACTGGCTGTGTTTTTGGCGGTGAAATTTGTGTGGCGGTGGTCGTGAGGTTTCATGCTGAGCTGGGTGTTTTTTCTTCTCTCCGCGGCCGCGAGGCTATTTTGGTGGTCTGGTAGCTGTGCGAGCCGCGGTCCATATATATATCCCACGCAGTCAAATCTCTGCCTCTCTTGTCCCATGCGCTTTACTTGCGACCTGAAACGTGGAATTCGATTCCACCGGTGACACTAAATTGAAAATGACGCCAAGTTCGAAAGGGACGTGAAAGTTATATTACTTTGGACCTTTGGTGTACAGTGTTCCCAGTAGGTCAGTAATAACACCGGTGACTCGGGTGTCGACTAGTTGTCGAAAGGAACGTGAAGGTTGTATTACTTCGGTGTACAGTGTTAGCAGTAGGCCAGTAACAACACCGGTGACTAGTTGTTGGACTGGGCTTCTCTGAAGGACATGGGCCTGGCCCTTTAAGTTGCAGTGCGCAGGTTGTAGTGATACGCCCATCAGACTAGCGTGTTCTAATTTCTGAGATAAAAAAAAATGGCAAACGCTTTGTCGCGGACCTGCAGTGGCTGAGATCTCGATGAGCACGACTAGATCCAGCCAGAGAGGTTGGATTGCAGCATGTGAGGGGGTTTATTTTAGGAGCTTGACATGGTGGATGCCGACCCTGCGTTGAACGAACCTCATGGCACCGGCAAGTCTTCCATTCCATCCAAGGCAACAACGGCGGCGATGGGGAGTCGGACGGTGGAAAGCCAAATTGCTCCGCCGCCTGTCGCGCTCTCGCCGTCACGGGCGCTATCATTGGAGCAATTGGGCGGGAGACGGGGGACAGCAGAGCCTGTTTCTTTCGTTTCATGTTTCATCCTTTCTTCTTTCGAGAAAACTGCTACCCCTACCAGTAAGATGGTCCGGCTTCGGCCGGCACCGACTGCTCACCAGGCGCACGATCGAGCCTCAGCCGTCGAGAGACCCGAGACCGCCTCCTCCGCCGGAGAGAGGTGTCGGTGCGCAGGCGCAGCGCATGTGCGTCAGACGAAGAGGCTCTTGCGCTGAATCGAAGGCTCCGGAACCAGAGCGTTGAGCAGCGTTTCGTTTGTCGGTGGACCGAGAAGGAACAGCACAACAGGAGACATGAGTCAGGCGGTTGTTCCGGGCACGCACCTGCAGCTGCAAGGCTTGTATTTGTACCGGAAACGTCGGCCGGCGCAGCTTTGCGTGAAACGCCTGGGCGAACCTGCAGTTCACACGCGAGAGCGCTCGCTCGCCCTCTCACGCAAACGCAAACGCAACGACACGCATGCAACTGGCTAGTTGTGCCTTCTTCCGCTTCGTCGTGTCGTCCGGAGCTCCTTGTCCTGCTTCTCTTTTGACTATTATCGGTTTTTTAAGGCCCAACATTAACTGGAGTAGCTTCAGTAATCCTCGTCTTTAGCTCTTCCTTTGTGAAATGAAATGATCAGGGGCATCATATCAGCCTGTCGACGTCATGCTCGTGGCTATTGGAATTCCCCACCGACGATCGAGATGGCTGTGACGACGAGAAGCACTCGCACATGTCTTGGGGGATTACCACGATGATTAAAGCGGGATTATACAAAGACTAAATTTCACGAGTTCTCGTACTACTAGATCTCCGGACTCTAGGAACTTCTCTTCATCTCCTGCATTCGCATGCGCCTTCCTCTTTCCTTCTACTAGCTCTGAAACGGAGGAGCAACAGCAAGTAGGCAACCTTGTGCGATTCATCAGACTTCAGTGGCAGTAGCCTACTAGCCATCCGTCAGTGCCGCCTTCCTACGGCAAGTGACACAGCTCCTGCGCTTGTGGTTCATCTATCTTCCAGCGTGTTCGCATATCTACGACGACCCCCCCGAGGAAGTTCGATGTGGAAGTGGTGTCGCCTTTCACATCCCCCTGCTGCCTCCAGAGATATCCTTCCCATCAAGGTTTCGCTGGGTCCTGAAAGCATCGAGCAACACCCCTGCCTGGCTGCCTGCCTCTAAGGCCTTATTTAGTTCCAAAAGAGTTTTCCCAAAAAGTGTTACAGTAGTTATCATATTGAATTTTGTGATACGTGCATGGAGCATTAAATGTAGACAAAAAAGAACTAATTACACAGTTTGGTTGGAAATCGCGAGACGAACGTTTTGAGCCTGGCCAGTCCATGATTGAACACTAATTACCAAATAAAAACAAAATGCTACATTAACCAAATTCCTAAATTTCACCCAACTAAACACATCCTAAGCAGCAGTACTAGTCGAGTAGGGGCAGGGGACAGGATCACAAGACAAGGCACATGCAAGCTTCGAGTCATTTTTTTTTGTTCTTCCCTGTTCTTGATTTGCTTGGCCCAGCACGAAATTAAGGTATCCTTGCCTGCACCGCACCTATACGATTCACATCATCCTTGGCAACTGGCATGGCGATTGACGAGTACTACATCAATCGGCGAAGATCCGGGGGAGGCCTGGCCAAAGCCGCTCATCTCTCCACAAATCCCGCTGCATGTTTCTGACTTCCCTTTGATCATTTTCATTTGGACCAGGAATGTCGTCGCTGTTCAAAAATGCTTCCATGCGACAAGTGTTTTGCCCATCACTGCTTAAAACTCGCTGCACGCGCGTACGTACGTACCCACATCCACTAGGCCGTCACATCACACAAAGGGCGGCAGGCCCGTGAAGGCACACACAGAGCCACTACAGGCAGCTGTTCGGCGTTTTGTTCCGTTCGCCACGTGCCTGTCACGCCCCAGACCTGAAGGCGGCAACCAGAGAAGGCGTATCCCAGAACAGCGATTCTATTTCCCATTTATGTAATAGTTAGACTATGACATGTGGGCCCTTCGGGCAGTAGGCTGGATGCCTTATATCCTAGAAGTGTGTGCTGTAAGACTCGTTGACATTTATCTGAACTAATACAGTAAAGGGGTCAGAGGTTCCTCTGTGCTTCGGCCGATTCGGCGAATTTCGCTTGCCTGCTCACGTCGACGACGCACGCCGGCGGCCTAGGGTGACGAGTGGTATCAAAGGCGGTCCTTCCTCGGCAACCATCTTCTTCCCCACCCATTCCCTCCCTCAACTTTTCATCCCCGCTCCGAACCTCATCTCCGACAGCCCCGGCGACGGATCCAGCAATCCGGCGTCACCACCACCACCAAGGCGCTCACCTATCTCCCGGTACATTCTGCCTCCGGCTGCTTCGATCTTCAGTTCGTAATTCCGGTTGGCAGGTGATCTCCGTTCACGCCCTCGTAGTGTTCGACACGAGATCCCATAGGTCCCTCCTTTGGTTGAACTGGGTCAGCATCGGCAGCGGCGCATCCAGGCTTGAGCTCCACCATCTTCACCTCCACATAACCCCAATCTACCATCTTAGCCTCCACTACACCCTTCCACCACCCTACTGCACGGATACACTCCATCTACAGCTTCACGTTCAACTGGGGGACTACATCGGCAAAATTGGGTTCGGCGGCGAGAACCACAGTGAGCACAACATCCATAGTGCTCCAATCTTTCATTACACACGCAATCGGGGCTAGCTAGGGTTGCGGGGCAGTGTTCCCGTGTAAAATTCCGGTGCTACCTTAACCGATTGTGGTGTGGGAGGTGACAGCGAGGAAATGTCCACTTACTCGGGTTGCGGAACTGTGTTTTTCCGTGTAAAATCCCTTGGTAGTGCCTCACTTCCAGGTGTAGTCGGTGACGAGGTGTAGCAAGAACACAGGGAGGTGTACACCAAACCGGTTGCTTCACCAATTCAGAGCCTTTCATCAAATTCAATCACAACGGCTCCACCAAAGCCATCCAAACAGACGCAGATCCTGCTTGATGAGATGTCTCGCAGCAACGAGGACGAGAAGACTCGTTGGGACTTAGTGATGGACAACTTTGACATGTTGTTTGCAAGTCTCAATGACATCAGGATAATCCAGCAAGATCTGAAGTCTCAGTTGGAAACCAACAACAAGAGGGTCGATAATTTTGCAGCTGAATAGAAATTTATAGCAGAGCAAGTTAAGGCTAATGGGCATGCAGTGGCCCAACTTACACTTTGACAGTTTGAAGAAGATGCCCAATCTACCAGTGGTGATTCAGTCTCCATCGTCTTTGAGGAAGAGGCGCCATTTACAAATATGTTCATTGATGACAAAGGCAAGGGCACTTTCAAACCAGGGACTTCCAAGCAAAACAAGCCTAGCTTTGATCAACCAAGGAAGGAGCACAGAGATGAGACTCATAAAAAAAGGATCAGCTACCACACCATGCTCTTCCAAAGATGCAGTTCCCTAACTTTGCTGGAGACAACACTAAGATATGGATCAACAAGTGCAACAATTACTTCACTATGTATTCCATCCCTGAAAGCTTATGGGTAACAGCAGCCACTATGCATTTGGAAGAAAATGCTGCAATGTGGTGGGAAGCATATAAGTTCAGTCATCCATCAGTATCTTGGCAAACCTTTTCTCAAGACGCTCAAGCAAAATATAACAGTGATGATTACAGATCAGCTCTGGCAGACCTCATTGCCTTGAAGCAAACAACAGTGGAAGAGTATATAGCTCAGTTTTCAGCACTACAGTACAAGATCAA